GTTTAGGGCGCGCCTGCTCCCGAGACTGGAAATGGTTAAGTCAAGGATTCCAAACAAAAAATATGTCACATACACAGATTCTGGTTGTCGTGGGCCCACGACAACCAAAATCTGTGTACTTTACATATTTTTTCGAGCCGGCCGGTCTCATTTTTACACAGATATATGTTTGCGGGAATCACCCATTACTCGTACCAAAAAAAGCTATTACAAATCCTCAAGTACGTATGATTATGTGTTATTACATATGAGTACGATCTGTAAGATAGTGCTTCGTGTATTTTTTTCCGCAAATTCGATCGAGTTTCTCGTAAGTTTTTTCGGCGAACCTCATGCGTCATTTTTCATTACAATCGTATATGCCTCCCGTACGTGATTGGATCAGTCACATCGGTTTGTGAAATAACGTTTGCCAGCTCACGGAAAAGAATCTGATCAAAGATAGTTCCCTATTCGAGCAACGCAGATGGATGATGATTGATGATGATTTTTTTGTTGATCGATATCGTATTTGATTTGTTCTTCTTAAGCGATTTGTGTGGTGTGCTTCAAGGCACGCGTTGCCGTGCTTCTTTTCTTGCTCCTTTTTTCCTCTCTTGTCGGCACAACCGCGTTGCCGTCATCGGAACACTAACGTTATCCATCTAATTTAAGGGAAAGGACCAATTTTGAAAGTGGAGACACTCTTGAAACAAAGTCTCCAATCAAACTGCCCTCTAACAATGAGCAAACTGAATGACGTCAACGTCTCCGACATCGTTGGCAGCAATTACGAGGGCTACCACGAGGCCACCGAAGGAGAAGATGTAAGCTCGAATAACAGCACAACGGCCTCAATTTCGTCTTCTGCATCCTTTTCATCGGACGATATCGATGGAATTCAAACGTCTTCACCAACTGTTGGAAATAGCTTAGACGGGAAAAGCAAAGATCTTTGGTGGATCCACGGAAATGGATACGATTTGATGGATTTTGTCAAAGATCACCCCGGTGGAATCGAAGCAATTCTATTGGGAAAAGGTCGCGATTGCACTGCTTTGGTTGAATCATATCATGCATTCAGTGGTGAACGAGTGTGGAAAATACTCGAGAAACACCGCGTCGTTCAAGAGGAGCATGAACAGACAGAAGAGTTGGCAGGCGTATCAGCACGCAGGGCAACACCAATCAAACAACATCCAGGTCGAGTCCCTGATTTCTTTTATGAAATCTTGAAAGAAAGGGTGACGAAAGCATTGAGGTCGAAAGGGATTGACCCCGTCAGAGATCGTGGAGCATCAACGATTAGGATCGCATATTATATCCTGATCTTTGGGTCGTGGTTGTACACTGGGTATCTCCATTGTTCGGTAAGATTTTCGCTCCTATTGTCCCCCTTCTGTGCCATACCTTGTTATCGTGCTTTCATTTGACCGTGGAGAAACGAACTAATTTTGTGCTGTGCCTTTTATCAATTACACGGAAAAAACGGCTCAAATCGATGCAGGGAAGCACCTTCGGTTCTTTCGCGTTCGCTCTCGTTGGATGGTTGATGGGTGCGTTGGGACATGACGCGGGGCATTTTGCAGCGAGCCGTCGGGCAGCAGTCAATGAGTATGGTGTTTGGGCGATGTCAAACATATGCAATCCTGTTATGTGGCAACAGCAACACACGTATGCGCATCATTCTTACACAAATGAGTTCGATCGCGATCCCGATTTGCATCATTTTGACTTGCTCTTGCGGGTTCACAAGAAGTTCAACTACCAACCCAAGTATCGGTGGCAGTCGAGTTTCTTATATGTTTTATTTGCTTATATGTTTGTTGTGTTCGGTACTTGCCTCTGGATTCCCTGGGGGGTTTTAAGCGAAGGTACCTTGTATGGAATGGTCGATTGGCACGATAAGGATCGACCGATGAGATACTATGGGATGTGGTTTCACCTTCTTTTATACATCGGAATCATAGTTATTGTTCCGATATTTACCCACGAATCATTTGTGAAGGCTGCACTGGCGACCTATATTCACATTGCTACAATAGGCATCACATTTGCGTTTTTCTCTCAAATCAATCACTTGAACGAACACTCGCTCGAAACTGATATGGTTTCTCGTGAGAAACAGTACAAAAAGTTGGACAGCAATAAACAGGATCCGCGATTAGCGAGTTCATGGGCTGCCGCTCAGGTAGAAACTTCGAACAACTTCGCGTCGCAATCCATTTTCTGGCATGTCTTATCGAACGGACTCAACCATCAGATCGAGCATCATTTGTTTCCTGGTTTGAATCATGGGCACTTGGAATACATCGCACCTGTTGTGAAACAGACGTGTGAGGAATTTGGAGTTGGGTACAAATCATACGATACCTGGAGCGATTTGTTGAATGCAACACTGGAATGGTACGACAAACTGAGCGTCGGTGGTGACATTGACGACGATGTTGCTGCCGCTGTTCCCGATATCAAGAGGATTAAAATTTCGTGACAAACTTTAGCTCTTATGAGCTTCCACTCCACCTTCGAGATATCGCTATGTTTGATAAAAGAAATTTAAATTGTGTTTGTTTTCATACTGTGGCAAAGATATTGCCTGTCGTGGCTAATACAAAAAATAAATGTCGTGTTTCTTACAAGCACGTTAAGTTTCATAATTTTGACTTCCGCCAACCATGTAAAGAAACAAATCGTACTAGTACGATCGATTTCCATTTCCATTCGTCGATCTCGTTTTGACTGTGTTAAGGGTCCTTGTAACCACCTTCTTTTCATTTTAGTCAAGTCGATCCATTCCCCAAGCCCAGTGTTCGAAATTCGTTATTGGGGAGACCTCGAGGAAGAAATGAGTGTCGTGATGAAGGTGATCTTTTGGATCGGTTAAGGCGACAGCATCATATGATGGAACGAAGACGAGTTGACTAGTACGAGATGTGGTCGAGTTCCTTTAGGAAATTCATTTGTAAGAAAACGACACCTTAAGAAAATCTTTCCCGGGGGAAACCGAGGCGTGGTGAATGTTCTAAGATGTCACCACCCAAAAATTACACTTGGGAATCTTACCACAAGTATGTCACCTGATCTCGTTTACTTTTCGTAGCCGCCAATCTCTTCTTCTCCTTCCATTTTCCGTTCTATCGAAATAATATTGAAATAGCACAATTAATCGCTCAGAAATTTGCCAAAACGAGTAGCACTGGTTGTTTCACCAATATGATTGTTTGTACGGTATCTGGTACGGTACAAAAGCAATCGAGTTGTAGCGAAGCGTGGACGGTGACTTCGTACCGTATTGTAGAGCACAGAAATAGTATCTAGTGGTAAGATCTCAGTTTTTACGCTTTTGCTGTGACAGGATCGGTGGAGGATTCTTCGTTGAAGTTCCTGTACCTGGTCAACGCGCAATGGGTTACGTACGGTAGCTAGCTGTAATAGAGCTATTAATGGTAAGTCCCATACTGGCAAGTTATTGGCAATTCCGAACCTCCAGGGCCGGCTGGCTTGCCTGCCATGCGCATGTACCCCCTGTACATTCAGTACTGCGGTACTAATTATACGTAATCTACGTACATADTTTTATACAGCGAATCAGTACTGATGCACCTCCATCCAATGCTGCACCTCCACCGTCGAATTCCTCATCAAATCGCCGCATCATACTCCTCCGCAAGC